TGGTGATTCTGTGGTGAGTTGGAAGGCAACTCTACAAGCTACAGTGACTTTGTCTACTACGGAGGCAGAGTACATGGCGTTGACAGAAGCGGCCAAGGAGGGAATTTGGTTAAAAGGACTCGTCAATGATCTTGGTGTACATCAGGATCAGGCTATAGTGTGTTGTGACAGTTTGAGTGCAATATGCTTAGCCAAGGATCAAGTTCATCATGAAAGGACTAAGCACATTGATATCAGGTATCATTTTTTGAGAAGTGAGAAAAGAATCAGGGTGAAGAAAGTGGGCACGGCTGACAATCCTGCCGACATGTTCACTAAGCCAGTTCCACAGAGCAAGTTCCAACATTGTTTGGACTTGCTAAATATCACAAGCTGTTAAACTGCAGAAGAGAAGAGAGCGGGTACATATGGCACCAAGGAGGTGCATCTGGAAATTTGTGAGAGAATTCAAGTCAAGGTGGAGATTTGTTGGAATGCCTTGAATTCTAACCTATTTGACTAGTCAACAATGGCTGCACCTGTCTGGAAAGTGGCTGGAAACCAGCTGGAAAGTGGCTGGAAGGAGGCCTAGACAATTGGGCAAGTGGGTTGCTAGTTGGTGAGGTGGGCCAGCTGTATGACAGCAGTATTGTGGGCTGTCAACTGCTCAGTTCCCACTGGATTTAGGCAGCCAAGTTGGCTGCCATCTTTCCAATAAATAGGTTCATTTGTAAGGCATTCAGACATAGATCAGTCACCTAGAAAATCCCTCTGTAATCTCTCTCCTCAATCAGTAAAAGCTCTCCTCTCTTCTGTTAGGTGGACGTAGCCAACATATTGTTGGTGAACCACGTTAAATCTGTGTGTGTTTGTTCTTTCGTTTCTTTATTGTTTGTTATCTCTCTTACATCCGTCATAACACCGTGGCCAATCTGCTTATTCAAAGGCTGCTTCTGTGGTTGAACAAACAATAGGCTCCATTCGAACTGTAAGTACGTTGTGGGTGCCTGAGCTACCTAAATTACTAAATGTATGTATCCTCCTGATAACTTCAGCCACTCGATCTTTAATTAGGTTGCATCATTTACTGGGGAGAAGCAAGCTGTGGCTACTTACAACAAGTTACTTGAGAAAGCTTACCAATCCGGTGTACAAGAAGGGCTGGCAACAGGATTAGGCCTTGGGTCAGTTTATTTTGTCATGTTTTGCAGCTATGGGTTGGCTATTTGGTTCGGTGCCAGGATGATATTGGAAAAGGGTTACACAGGAGGAGAAGTGTTCAGTGTTATTATTGCGGTGTTGGCTGGTTCCATGTCCTTAGGGCAGGCATCTCCTTGTATGAGTGCCTTTGCTGCAGGCCAAGCTGCAGCCTTCAAGATGTTCGAGACTATAAACCGGAGGCCATCCATAGATGCATATGACACCACAGCAGGTAAGATACTGGATGATGACATCCGTGGAGATATTGAACTGAGAGACATCTACTTCAGTTATCCAGCCAGACCAGATGAACAAATATTTTGCGGCTTCTCTTTGTTTGTACACAATGGCACAACTGCAGCTCTAGTTGGACAAAGTGGGAGTGGGAAGTCGACCGTGATCAGTCTGATCGAGCGTTTTTATGATCCGCAAGCTGGTGAAATTCTTATAGATGGGATTAATCTCAAAGACTTCCAGCTTAGGTGGATTAGAAAAAAGATTGCTCTTGTCAGCCAAGAACCTGTTCTTTTCACAGCAAGCATAAAGGATAATATTTCCTATGGAAAACCTGGTGCAAGTATGGATGAGATCAGGGCAGCGGCCGAGCTCCAAATGCTGCAAAGTTCATCGACAAGCTTCCCCAGGTCACTCTTCTAGTTCATTTTATTCATATGTTCTTGATTTACATCACAGGTTTATTTCCTTACTTCAACCGTAATGAATCAGGGGCTAGACACAATGGTTGGTGAACACGGGACACAGCTTTCTGGGGGTCAGAAGCAGAGAGTGGCTATTGCAAGAGCAATTATAAAAGATCCTAGAATCTTACTCCTAGATGAGGCAACAAGTGCATTAGACGCAGAGTCTGAGAGAGTGGTGCAAGAGGCATTGGACAGGATCATGGTTAACAGAACAACCATCATAGTCGCACATCGCTTGACGACAGTGAGAAATGCTCACATGATTGCTGTCATTCATCAGGGAAAGATTGTTGAAAAAGGTACCTATTTTTAAGCAGAACATTTATAATGGGTGACATTTAGCATTAAAAAAGATGGATTAGAATTTTCTGCAATTTTTGTTGTGTTGTTCAGGCACGCATCTTGAGCTACTCAAAGACCCTGAGGGAACATACTCACAACTCGTGTGTTTACAAGAAGCGGATAAGGATAGAGAACAATATGAAAGGCAATTAAGCCAAAGGAGGACATCCTCTTTACGCTCAGTAAGCCGGAGTTCATCTGGAATAGGAAATAGCAGTCGGCGTTCCATCTCTGCTTCCTCCTTTGGTTTGCCCACTGGACTTGGTGTGACTGAAACCACAGCTGCAGACCCTGAAATTCCTTCACCAGAGAAACTCTCTACAAAGATCCCGATCCGTCGCCTTGCCTCTCTCAACAAGCCTGAGATTCCAGTGCTCCTAGCAGGAACTATTTCTGGTGTGATAAATGGTGCAATCCTTCCACTTTTTGGGATCTTGATCTCCAACGTAATCAAAGCATTTTATGAACCGCCGCATGAACTAAAGAAAGACGCCAACTTTTGGTCACTAATATTTGTGGTTCTTGGAGCTGTCTCATTTCTAGCATGTCCAGCAAGGACGTACTTTTTTGGGGTGGCTGGTTGTAGGCTGATAAAAAGGGTCAGGTCAATGTGTTTTGAAAAGGTGATTCGCATGGAGGTTGGTTGGTTTGATGAACCCGAGCACTCGAGTGGAGTGATTGGTGCCAGGCTTTCTGCTGACGCATCAACAGTGCGTGGTCTAGTAGGAGACGCACTCGCACAAATAGTCCAAGATACTGCATCAGCAGTTGTGGGTCTAGCTATTGCATTTGAAGCAAGTTGGCAATTGGCCCTTATCATACTTGCTATGATACCTATGATTGGATTGAATGGATATGCTCAAATCAAGTTCATGAAAGGATTCAGTGCCGATGCAAAGGTATACGCAACTTGATCTCGACAGTTAAACTTTATATACTCCATATGTTAGAAAGTGTAAGAAAATAAAGCAATATGTAGAGGCCGAGTTTAGACTATATCTCATATCCTGAGTCTTGATAATACACATACGTCATGTAGATTATGTATGAAGAAGCAAGTCAAGTTGCGAATGATGCAGTGGGGAGTATAAGGACAGTGGCTTCGTTTTGTGCTGAAGAGGAGGTGGTGGAATTGTACAAAAGAAAGTGTGAAGGACCAATTAAGGCAGGAATTAGACAAGGGCTGATTAGCGGAGCTGGTTTCGGGATTTCCTTCACTTTGTTGTTTTTAGTTTATGCAACAAGCTTTTATGCAGGAGCACGGCTTGTTGAGGATAATAAAATCACATTCTCTGATGTTTTTCGTGTCAGTATCTGATAAATTCATAATCTATATCTGTATGTGTACTCCGTATATATATTAATGGGTGATGTGCTCTATCCCTACATGTACGCAGGTTTTCTTCTCCTTGACAATGGCAGCGATGGCTATTTCACAATCAAGTTAATTGGCACCAGACTCGAGCAAAGCCAGGAGTGCTGCTGCTTCTGTATTTTCCATACTCGACAGGAAATCTAAAATTGACCCGAGAGACGAGTCCGGGATGACACTGGAAGATGTCAAGGGAGAAATTGTGTTCCTACAAATGAGCTTTAGTTATCCAACGAGGCCGGATGTGCAGATCCTGAGGGGCCTATGCTTATCCATTTGCAACGGCAAGGTAAAAGAAAGAGATAGATATATCAAAACTTAAAATCCAATCATCCGTTATGTTGTATATAATCATATTTGGTCGGTAATCATGATCAGAGTATTGCCATAGTGGGAGAGAGTGGGAGCGGGAAGTCGACTGTGATATCCTTGTTGCAAAGATTCTACGACCCTGATTTGGGAGAGATAACGCTGGACGGAGTGGAGATCAGGAAGCTGCAAGTGAAATGGCTGAGGCAACAAATGGGGTTGGTGAGCCAAGAGCCGGTGTTGTTCAACGACACCATTAGGGCCAACATAGGATACGGAAAAGGAGGCCGTGGTGCAGCAAGTGAGGCAGAGATCAGTAGTGCGGCGAAGCTGGCTAATGCCCACAACTTCATCAGTGCTTTACAGCAGGGATATGACACAACGGTGGGAGAAAGGGGAGTTCAATTGTCCGGTGGACAGAAGCAAAGGGTGGCCATTGCACGCGCCATCGTGAAAAACCCAAAGATATTACTGTTGGACGAGGCCACCAGCGCATTGGATGCCGAGTCTGAGAGAGTAGTGCAAGACGCGTTGGACCGAGTTATGTTGGGCCGGACAACCATAGTGGTCGCACATCGCTTATCAACCATCCGAGGAGCTGATGTCATTGCTGTCGTAAAAAATGGTGTCATTGTGGAGAAGGGGAATCACGACACTCTAATCAATATTGAACATGGATTTTATGCTTCTCTCGTCGCCCTTCACTCAACTGCTTCCTAGTTCCTAACTACCATCTCATCCAACATTAATTTGTAACTGAATCATTTATGTACATATGTCATTTCAAAATGGTGATGTCATCGTTCTCAGCTTAAAGCTAAACCACAAATACAGGACAAATTGCAGTTGTATAAGGTCATTCGTTAAGACTGTCAGAATATATATATATATATATATATATATATATATATATATATATCTCAAGAAGCAAACTAATCATCATCGCTTTCATCACTGTACTCAACTAAACTACCTTTTGCGAGAGATTCGGACTTGACGATATCAGTTATTGGAGTCTTCGTGCATCCCTCGGACTCTTTAGGATCACTGTGATGTGCTGTCTTGCCCCAAACAGAATTTTCAGAAGTTTCAATATCCATTTTAGCTTTCTTCGCTTGTGGCTTAACCTTTATCAACATTCCCAAGGGCTTGGCAGGAGGATTCTTTCTCCCAGCACCGACAGTTCTTTGATCCTGCATAAATGAATTGGAGATTTGGGTGTTTGAAGGCCAGATGAACTCTCCTTCTACTCACCACTCACATAACAAGGCATAACACTAGCGAGAAAAATTATTATTGGTGATCCGCGAGTAATAATCCAAACTTCAACCGTTCCAAATATAATACAAACTTTAACATTCTCATCCATTTATGCATCGAAAACTAACACCGTTACTTCTCCGTTAATTAAAAATGTTTTTAATAATCTGAACTTTGAAACAGGCTCTCTACTTTTAGTAGGGGTAAGGTATGCGTAGATACACCCTCCCCAGACCCTAATGTTGTGGCATTCTATTGGATTGTTGTTAAATAAATCTGAACTTTGAACGGTCAGCCTACATTCCCTACAATAATCCAGATTTCAACTCGTTCTAGTAAAAATACGAACTTCAATACACTCATCACATATGCACCCGCTCTAGTTAAATTCAACACTTTTCAATTAAAATTGGATAACACGAATCTTTGTATATATCTAGGATATTAGCTATAGATTATACTTTTCTACTTGTAGATAAAGAAGCAGCAACTAACCTGAATTTTAGGAGCTATTGGTGTTTCCTTGAGCTCGTGAACAATGGCAGACTGTGCAGCAACTGCTGCCTAACAATGGACCCAAACAACAATCAACATTCTTGTGGATGACATGTTGTTGCTAAAATAAAAGATGTCACTGTCCCAACTTACTTGGAAACTTTGAAGCTGCTTTTCTTCCTCGTAAACAAGTTGCTTTTCATATTCTCGCCTCGACTATAGAGTTTCAAACAATAAATATATCAAGCACACCAATGGAATGGAAATTTGATAAGAATATGCATATCATCCATGGCCCTTGCTTCATCCCCACGCCAAAGAAAAGATATTGTGTGGAACTTGAGAAGTTAGTCCAACCACTACCCTACAATGCCTAAAATCAATGCTTAAAGTGAAGTTCTTTATGTTGCAATTATCCCTATGAATGGAGCCCTTAGAGAATCTTAATGGTGGGACGGCAGCAAATGGCAGAAGTTGTAGCCCTTAGATTACATAACAATGATCATATCATAGGCGTACTTGTTTCCGCAGCTTACGGTGCGGATATATAACTTCTTTGAGCAAAAGAGTCTCACCTCCTCGAGTTTGTCAAGAAAATCAGTTTCGTCCTCATCTAGTGCTTTGGGTGGCCCTGAAACAACAAATTAAATGAAACTTCATACTCGGGAAACATCCACAAGAAATACCAAATTCAACATTCAGTTGAGGAAAATGAAAAATAAATGGCCCACTATGCTTGATGCGTTCATTGAACTCCGCATCTTTTTTATCCTTGTTCTCCTTTAGTATCTGTAAATTGAAATTGAAGAGTGTTTTTTAGCAGGAAAAAAAAAGAGTTCTGAGTTCTAGATTGAATTGGGTCCAGGCAATACCTAATTGCAGCTACACGAACTGCATTCAAGTAATCTTGTACTGGTAATATATACGATTTCCCCCCAAAAAATAAAAGAGCAAAATAACAACATGACCTCGTACAATGACCTATCTCTTTGGGCAGTTCCGTCTTCAACCCGAGCCCCGCGGGTTCTCTTGGCTTCTTCCAACTGATCTTCCGATACGAAGTTCATCAGTCTCACCGGAGCCGCAGAACGATCCAAATTCCCCTCCCTGTTGGCCCCTGCCATCTCTCGGCGGCCGATAATCCGCTTATAGCTGCTTGAAGTCTAAACTAGACAGTACGAATCCGGAGACTGTCCCGGGAAAGGTAGAGCGATTCTACTGAATGGAGGTTCTAGTATTGTCGTACTCGAATACATCTAAAATTATAATATTTCACATACTCTTGAGTCATAATTCAATTTCTTTTTTTAATATACATATTCTAAAAATCATTTTATGTATCAATGCCTATTTAACATACTACTTCCGTTCCACTCTCTTTGTTCACTTTTAACTTTTGGAATTGTTCATCTAAGTACTTTAACTCATCAAATTCTCTCAATGTGTAAGCCTAAATATAGTCATGTGTGATCTTGTTTGATTTGTCTTAATATATAGATTATTAATATATAATTTCTATAAATTTTTAATATACAAATTACAAGATAAAATTAATTAAAGAAGTGCATTGGATGGTGTACTAAAAGGTAAGTGGACAAAGAGAGTGGAACGGGAGTAGTATATAAATTAACTACGAAAGAATTTGTCGGCTTCTCTGCTACCCATGGTGCACGGGTTCAATTCCCTATTAAATTGGTCTTCTTTTATATGAAAACTAATAAGCAAACTTCTGTAGCTCTCATCGTTTCAGATATATTTCACGATTAACTAGTCTTATCATTTTCAGGTCATGGGTGCTTGAGCCATTTTTACAAAACACAAGTATGGATATACGTCTGCTCAGTAGTTTTATTCCAACGATCAAATTGTAACTAATTTCTTTAATTATTTTCGTTTGTATTTTGAGAAAATAATATAATCATGATATCTTTTTTTTCGTATAACTTTTCATTTGTTTTTAAATATATATAATTTTTATTTTAAATGTTTATGCTTATAATCAAAAGAATTAAACTGAAAATAACTTCAGTCAAACTCCGTAAGTTAAAATTAAAAAATAATTATAGGACGAAGAGATTACTAATTTTGACTGCATTTTTTATTGATATTTAAAGGCACGAAATAATATTGGATGTTTGGATTTTTTTTTTTTACAAAAAATTAAAACCCTCATGAATAATTTTTATTTTTCAAAAATAATAAATGAATGAATAACTCACTGAACTTAATTTTCCTATATAATTTTTCATGTTTTTTCCTGAAAGAAAAATTTTCCAAAAAGAAAAAAGAAACGGAAATTGAAGATTGACTTAGAGCAATTAATAAAAAGAATTAATTATTTTATCTACCCCTTACCATCTAACAAGTGAAAAACAGTTTTTGACTCGCATAGAAAGGATGCATTGAGCGGACAGCAGAAGGGCGAGGGACTGCTGGCACACGTATCCAGTCTCCGGAATCCGAAAGCTCCGGCGCTCGGAGGATCCAATCGAGTCCCTGCCGATATCCGCGATCTTTTTCTACTGCAGAATCCCCGTTGATTTCGTGCGATTACAAGAGTTCGTCTTCTTCAGGTATGGAAAATCTATTGTGATCTCACGTCTTCAATTCACGCCCCGTTAATTCTTGATTTCTTTCAACACCTCTGATTGATCCGCTCTCTAATCAAATGATATTTTCAAACAGGACGTGCATTCAAACTCCAAAGCTAAATGCACTGGCGTTATCTTGAATTGATTCGTATTTACTGTGTTGCTATCCATTCTTGATCCGTTAGAGGTAACATCACTCAGGGGACCCTTCTCATTTCCTGGGTTTCTTCCATCTCGTTTCTTGAACCAATAAATCCAGCTCCTTTTTTACTGCTACGTTTCTTTCCACAGAATTTTACTGCTCGTGCAATCGTCCCTGCAAAAGTTTTGTCCTTTTTCTCAACTTCCTCTTATGGGACTGGAGTTTGGTCACTAAAGCCAGGTTCTTGGGTACATTCACAAGTCTTTTTCTGATCACTTGACAATGGATAATCAACCTCAGTCTTCCTTAGATAATTCAAATGCAAATACTGCTCACACCCCTCACCAAGGTAGCCGCTCTCACGTTCTGGATCCAATACTCACCTCTCCTACACTGCCTTCAACGTCAGGCCCAAGATTTCCCCCTCCGCTAATTGTACAACCAAACCAGGTTCATTCTCCATCTATTAAGACCCCTAATATTCATTCACCAGCCAACGGGATTAGAACTGGAAGCCCAGGTCCTCTCCTCAGCACTCCACCTGGACCTCCTGTCTTTTCCATACCTCTTCAACCCGCATCTGTACCTTTTCGAACATCTCCGGCCACTCCTCAGCCTGTTGCATTCTCTTCGGGTTCATCTCTACCGACGTCATCCCCTCCTCATTTGTCAAATGGGTCTCTTGAGGAGCTGCAACATACTGCTGGTGATAGAGAAGAATGGACAAATTCTACAGAATTTCCTAATGTTCTGTTTTCAGCTTATAAGGTACTATATTCCATCTTATAGGTACTATATTCAAAATGTTAAATAGTGGATTTTGTAAGGGAGGACATGTTGGTTGTTTTTGTTTGGAAAACAAATACC